TCGGGTGCGATTCCCAGCCTCAGGCACCCCGTCGGGGTTGCAGGCTTGCTCCCAGCCCATACGGGGCGGCCAATCTGTGTGTCTCACATCGGTGTCTGTGCGTGTCTCCCCCTCTCACTCTCTAAAAACCAATGGGAAACGCATCCTCGGCCCGGCTGCCCGGGACAGCCACCGGCCACCGGCTGCCCCTGCGGAGCCTCCAAAGGCAGGCCCGGCCCTGCGGGTCCCCTTCAGGGGCGACAGCATCGCAGCGTTTCCAAGCTTCCCGGTAAGAAAGCGCATCCGCCGTTTATAACAGAGATGCTGGCAGCGCCCTAAGCGTTCATGTCTCAGTGGGAGAATCCGCCTGTTTCCCAAAAGGGGCGGGTTTGGCTCCCGGGAGGGGCGGTGCGGAAAGCAAGGATCCAATGACTGTTTTCTCTCCCCCCCCCCTTCCTCTCTCTAAAAGTCAATTTTTAAAATAGTTTAAATAAAAATAAAAGGGCTCTGCTGCCCCTGTGTGATGGCGGAGGCGGGCGCAGGGAGGCGGAGCGAGTGCTTCGCACCTTCATAAAGTGCGCTGTGCCCTGCGCCCCCCACGAGGGCTCAGAAGAAAGCAGGTTGCAGGCGGGTGCACACGCAGGAGAAGGCCCGGGGCAGCCCCCAGGGTGATGGCGGTGGGGGGGACTTAGTGGGGGTCTCTGTCCTCATCTTCTGTGGCGCTAAACTTGCCTGCAATGAACTTGCATCTATTTAAAATATTTGTTAACACAATGAGATATGTCACCGTACACCTGCCAGAATGGCTACCATCAATAAGTCAACAAACAAGTGCTGGTGAGGATGAGGAGAAAAGGGAACCCCCGTGCACCGCTGGTGGGAATGAGACTGTGCAGCCACTGTGGAAAACAGTATGGAGTTTCCTCAAAAAAATAAAAATGGAACTGCCATTTGACCCAGTGATCCCACTTCTAGGAATATATCCCAAGAAACCAGAAACACCAATCAGAAAGGATATATGCACCCCTATGTTCATTGCAGCACAATTTACAATAGCTAAGATCTGGAAACAGCCCAAGTGCCCATCAGCAGATGAGTGGATAAAAAGGCTGTGGTACATCTACACCATGGGATACTATGCAGCAGTAAAAAAAGGATCTCTTACCCTTTAAGACAGCATGAAGGGACCTGGAGAGCATTATACTAAGCGAAATAAGTCAGAGAAAGACAAGTACCATGTGATCTCACTCATATGGGGAATCTAACAAACAAAATAAACTGATGAACAAAATAGAAACAGAGGCATGGATACAGCTGCCAGAGGGGAGGGGGAGGAGAGGACTGGATGAAAGAAGGTGACGGGATTAGCAAAGAATCTGTACGCATACCCATAGACAGACAGCAGAGGCCAGGGGAAGGGGGCAGGTGGGCAAAGGGGGTGGGGGAATGGGGACATCTGTAATAGTGTCAACAATAAAAATTAAAAATAAAATATTTGTTAACTTTCTGAAAAAGCTGATCGGTACTGCTCATGGCAGAAAACGCAAAAGAGACAAAAGGGGTCACAGAGAAGTCAGCTCCCTCTCCCTCAGCAGCTCCTGCTGTCCCCCCAGGGGTTCCCCCCACTTCAGACATCACGTCACTTCTAACATCAGAAGAAAAGTAAAGAAATGAGCATGCTACAATACAGCTATTTCCATTTTCCAAAAAATTACGTATACCATAAATAACATATGTATTTATACCACATATATAACTTTTGTATGTAACATATGCATATATGACATATATGCCATATATGTGGGTTTACATGGTATGTATTATTATACACTAGTAGCCCTGCACATGAATCCGTGAGCCAGTAGGTCGCTGCCGCCCTCCTGTAGCTCCCTCGCCCCCCTCCCCCGCCCCTTCCTCCCTCCATAGCTTGCTGCCCTGCCCCCTCCAGCTCTCCGCAGCTCCCTTGTACCTCACTGGCCCACCCTCCTGCTGATCCATGATCTGATCCTGATGCACTTGGTGGTTACGCCTCAGGGCGTAATGGCTAATGAGCATATTCCTCTGTTATTATATAGGATGGTATATATAATTTTTGAACAAATGGAAGTACGTGTGTGTGTGTGTATGTGTGTATGTGTCCTGCAAGTGGATTCTAATGCCTTCCACCCCCTCCATGGCGCTGACCCCTCCAGGCTGGCTGCGCAGAGAGGGGGCCCTGCTGGCATCCAGGGTGCCCCAGCCTGGAGGTTTCATGGTCCCCTCCCTAGGCCTTTTGGGGGGATGGAGGGAGCCCTCTCCCTGGGTGCCCCTGCTGGCCATGAGCCCAGCCACACAGCCCAACAGGAAGGCCCTCCCGCCCTCCCAGCCTCATGCGGTCACCCAGAGCAGCAGCCTCTGGCCATCGGCGGGGCGGCCCGGCATAAGAGCCTGGGGAGACAGGGTGGCTGGCACCCAGTCCCAGTCCTCGCACTGCGCTGCCCGGGAAGGAGCCGCGCGGCACTGCAAAGGCGAACGGAGCAGAAAGCATCTGCTGCGGGAGCAGCCGGAGTCCACCTTCCTGAGCCCGGGCCTGCCCGCCTCCCCAGGGCCCACTGTGCCCCAGGCATCCCATGGACGGCTCCCCTTCATCATCCCCTCTGATCCTCAAAAAGCTCCGGAGCTGTTAGGGGTCCGCTTTATAGAGGAGGACAGCAAGGCCAAGAGGCATTTGATGCTCTCAGTTAGCAAGTGAGAAAGTCAGGGCTGCACCCGCCTCTATCTCTAGCCTCCGCTCACGCCTTTTACTGCTGAGCTCTGCCACCTTCTGGGGGAGGGAATTGGGGCTTCTCACCCACCATCCCCTTGGCACCCTGCTTCTCCAGTCCTCGGGGTGCCCCCTCCCAGCGCTGGGGGTGGCAGAGCTGCCGGAGGTGGGCTCTGGATCCTCAGGATCCCAGATCTGAGGATTCTCATTGGACACTCCTGGGGGGTGGGGAGGGTCATCCGCAGAGATGGACCCGCTAGCAGGGCCGGCTCCCGCTGGGCACCCCACCCGGGAAGAGGAAAGACCCTGGAAGGAAAGGGTTACCTCTGACAGTCTCCGGTGGCTGGCGCTCCTGGAGTGCACACCCGTCTCCAGGGATGCATTTAAGGGCCTTCTCCCCACCCGCTCAGCCCTTCTCCCGCCCACTCAGCCCTGGCACAACCCCCCACCCCCACCCCCAGGTTGTGTGAGACCAAAACAGTATTCAAATGCGGGTGCAGCATAATCAGGCCTCTGCTCCCTGCGAGCCCGGCTCTGGGGATTAGCCCTTTGTTCTCCTCTAAAATGCAAGCTTGTGTCTTTGCAGGCCTGGGTGGGGTCACATCCAATCTTCAATGGAGCCCAGGCGCGTGTTTGCCCTGGGCGGGGGCTCTGCTGATTGATTCAGCCTGCCCTGAACTTCCTCCAAGTTTCCAAAGTGCAGCTGCGGCGCTGTGCTCCCAGCCTCAGTTACATAAGCGCGGCAGGGGTGCGGGGGGAGATGCGAGAGTCACGCAGCTCCCTGGAGATGCCCTCTGCCACGGGCTCAGGAGCGGCCACAGCGAGGCAGACTCCAGCCCGGGCCCTGCCAGCCGGAGGCTCCCCCTGAGCAGCAGGGAAGAGGGCAGGAGCCAGTGAGAACAGCCAGGGGTCTCCCTGGGGGGTCAGCCGGGAAAACCGACGTGCTTGGGGAGGAAGGGGTCTGCAAGCCCCTAGCTCAGTGATGGCGAACCTATGACACGCGTGTCAGAGGTGACACGCGAACTCATTTTTCTGGTTGATTTTTCTTTGTTAAATGGCATTTAAATATATAAAATAAAGATCAAAAATATAAGTCTTTGTTTTACTATGGTTGCAAATATCAAAAAATTTCTATATGTGACACGGCACCAGAGTTAAGTTAGGGTTTTTGAAAATGCTGACACACACAGCTCAAAAGGTTCGCCTTCACTGCCCTAGCTCCACCATTTACCAGGCGTTTGCTGGGCATCTGCTCTGTGCCATGCAGGGGATGGCGGCAGATCTGGGAAAACAGCCACTCACTGCTCACATGTCCCGTCCCCCCCCCCCACCATGGACTCTTGGCCTCCTCCTCCCAGGCACTTCCGTCCACCCTCACTCGCAGCCAGTGTCCCCGGCCTCCTTCCCCTTTCACTGCTTTTCCCTGACGGCCCAAAGCCCCCGCTTGTGTTCTTGCCCTTCTCCCCGCCCCCCACCTGGAATGCCCCTCCCGTACACCCACCACCCAGCTCTGCTCAAATGTGACGTGAAACAGCACCGCCTGACATGGCTGTCCGTCCTCTCCCTCCAGAGCACCTCCCACCTCTGACATGCTAGTTCTCTCCATCGTTCGCTACCTGTCAGCCCCCAACTAGAATTTGACTTGTGACCTGCTACAATCTTAGCACCTAGAACAGTGTCTTGCACGTAGTAGGTGCTCAATAAATATTTGTTGAGTGATGGAGTAAACAGAAAATTTCAAAACGCTATGGAAACTGTAGCAATTGGAATGTACATAAGGTGCTACAGAGACTCGGATAAGGGCCCATGGAGGGGAAACAGCGTCTGAACTAAATGAGAGGTATTTAGACAAGGAACAGAAGCAGGGCTTGGAACAGCAAAAGCAAAGGCACAGAGGCAGGGACCGAAGTCATATGTCACAGTTATTAACGTGTGGTGTGTACGCGTTATTGGCAGGAGGCGAGGGAGGAGGAGGCTCTGGGGCAGCGGGCTCAGGAGGTCTGTGGGCTGGGCCGGGCTTGGGGTGCAGGAGCATGCAGAGGCCTATACCTGAGGTTTCTGTTTTTAGGGAATCCCTCCCAATGAGGTCCAGACTGAAAGCTGCAGCCTCCAGTGGTGGAGACAAGGCCCAGTGTAGACGGGCAGAGTGGGAACATTCTGGAATAGCAGAAGGCCACATTGACAGGCTCTGGTGCCTGGGTGCCTGGGCTGGGCGGTGGGCAGAAGATGGGGCACCCTCTGAGATGGGGCGGAGCACTGGGTGGACCAGGCCTCTTGTGCCAACCTGGAACCCTCCCCCCACCTCCTGCTCCCACTTTTCTGGGGGTGGCGCCTGGTTATCTTCGGAGATGACCCTTGCCCTCTGCTGTAGACTTGGTGAGGTGGCCAGCCGGGCGCTCTGCCGCAGACTCGCCCAGGGGAGCGTGGGCCTCCGTGAGGCCACCCGGCTCTGCGGGAGCTTGCTGAGGGGAAGGCAGGATGCAAGGCTGGAGCCAGAGGAGCTGAGTCATGGTGATGGCGGCTCCAAGCCAGAGGAGCTGAGTCACGGTGACGGCGGCTCCCGGAGATGGGCCTGACCTCCAGCTCCCCCGCAGCCCAGGGGCCCTGACCGCCGCTGTGGCTCAGCCGCATGTCCTTCCACAGCCAGTTCATGTCTCTGGCCTCGGCTCCCCAGATGACGATGGTCTCCTGGAAGGGAGCTGAGATCAGCCCCTGAGTCCTTCCTCTCCCCCCCGCCCGCCCCCCCATGAGCCTTTCCTGCAACACTGTCCTAAGGCACCGTGTCCACCTCGTTTCCTCCCTCGTTCTTCATCCCTCAGCAGGAGGCGACCCCCCGAGGAGAACCATGGAGGCAAATGGAAAACACAAGCGAGGGCGACGCTGGCTCGTGGAGCAGAGGGGCGGTCTGGCACACAGGCAGCGTGTGTGAACGTGGTGTCCTTGCTGCCGTTAGGAGTAGCAGCTTCTCCGTCCTGATCATGTGGAGCAAAGAGTCTTAAACCTTGTCTATACCTATGAGAACAAAATCTTTAAAATTACCATCATTGCCCTGGCTGGTTTGGCTCAGTGGATGGAGCGTCGGCCTGCGGACTCAAGGGTCCCAGGTTCGATTCCGGTCAAGGGCATGTACCTTGGTTTCGGGCATATCCCCAGTTGGAGGGTGTGCAGGAGGCAGCTGATCGATGTTTCTCTCTCATTGATGTTTCTAACTCTCTATCCCTCTCCCTTCCTCTCTGTAAAAAATCAATAAAATATATTAAAATTACCATCATTATTATTACTATTATTTTGGTTAAGTTTCAGTGTGGCAGATACATGCTTTTTAAATTTTAATTTTTACAAGCCCTAATACCCCCGCCCCCCCTCAATGCCTCATCCTAGCCCAGGTGCCGACTCTTCCCCGGGGGTCCCCGTCATTGCTGCCTGCCTGCTCCCCCTGCCTCCATCCCACCTTCCACGACACCTTCTCCAAAAAGCTGCCCGCGGGGCCTCTGAGCAACGAGGGCCCGAGCATGTCCCTCCCCCATGGACACCCTGCAGCGGCTCCCCACTGCTCGGAGGGAAACCTCCCGTGTCTTTGAGGTCGCGAATGGTCTGGCTGCGTCTTCAGCCTCATTTTGTGCCACTTTCCAACATTTTCACTGTATTCCAGGCCACTGGCATTCCTGGCATGGCCCGGTCAAGTTCCTCCCTCGGGCCCTTTGCGATTCTCTCCCTGAAATACTTTTCCATCTATTCTGCACCACAGTGACGCTTGCTCCTGTTCATATCTCAGCTTCTCTGACCACCCCACCCCCAAATAATACCTTCCTTACTTCCAGGAACCTGTCCCAAACTGCAATCATGTATTTGTTTGTGTGACTATTTGTTGATTACTTTTCTTCACTCCATGTCCCCCACAGACTGGAATTTCCGTGAAGGCAGTGTCTTAACTTTTGTTCAGCCCACATATCCTCGCACTCAGCACAGCGCCCCGCACCAGCAAGGCCTCCGAAGATCATGGAAGCAGGCCAGCGCCCCAGTCACCCTGCAGGTGGGCTGGACAAGGTTGAGCTAAGGCGGTGAGTAATCATCAGGCGTTGAGCTGGGTGGTTTTCAGCCCAGCCCAGTGGCTCAGCAGTTGAGCAGTGACCTATGAACCAGAAGGTCACGGTTCAATTCTCGGTCAGGGCACATGCCCGGGTTGCAAGCTTGATCCCCAGTTTCTGATCAATGATTCCCTCTCATCATTGATGTTTCTGTCTCTCTCTCCCTCTCCCTTCCTCTCTGAAATCAATAAGAATAT